ATTTGGGGTTCATCTTCATATGGTTCTTCGTTCCATGTGTCCTTAATTTTGTCATCTCTTCTGTGTATTGCATCCAACATCTTTTTATTCCTTCCTGGTCTTGAATTGTGTTATTTTTATTGTCATAGATCATCCCAATGATGATCATCCCAATTTTGTAATCAATTTTCCTTAGACTGCCCAGATCTTGTGAAATTGATCTCTTGTTCTTCCCCTTTTGTTGTTATCTTCTATTTCTCTGCATTGGTCATTGTAGTAATTTTCTTTATCTTTCCACACAAGCCGTTGTACTGTTGCATTCATAATTCTTAGTTTGTTCCTATCTCTCTTTTTCCTCTTTTATTGCTTGTACTTTTTTCCCCGTCATCCATTTTTTTCTCTTTCTTTTTGTTTATTGAAAGTGTCTGTCTGCATTCTTCTTTTATTATGTCCCTGGCTTCAGACCATAGTTCCTCTGGTTCTCAGTCTATTATGTTTAGTAGTGTGTATCTGTTTCTTATGTTGTCAGTAAATTCTGTTGAGATATTATTTAGATCATATTTTGTATAATCACTGGTTTTGTTTTGTTTTTGAGTCTTACTCTTATTTTTGATATGAGTAATTCGTGATCTGTGCCACAGTCAGCACCTGGACTAGTCTTGACGACCAATACAGAGTCTTGCCATCTTTTACTTCCAATTATATAATCTATTTGTTTTTGTGTTGACCATCTGTTGACATCCATGTGTATAACCTTTTCTCTAGCTGTATGAAAAATGTGTTTGCAATGAATTATAGCCAAGTACAATTTGTGACCTGGCACATTCCTGATCTTGGGTCATCAAGCTTAGCTTCCAATTCTGCAGCTTTGTGGAGTGTGAACCAACAGGAACTAACCTTTATTCTAAACTAAATGTTTTTTAATCACTGAATTACATTTCAGTTACTGAATAATAGGGGATTTAGGGGGGAAATCTTCAAATTTTTTTCTCAGTTCTCTCTAAGGCTGCATCTGCACTGCAAAAATAATGCAGTTTGTCACCACTTTAATTGTCATGGCTCAATGCTATGGAATTCTGGGAATTATATCTTGTTGCGGCACCAGAGCTCTGACAGAGAAGACTATATGTCTCACAAAAGTGCAACTCCCATATTTCTCTGACATTGAGCCATAGCAGTTAAAGTGATGTCAATCTGGATTATTTATGCAGTGCATATGGAGCTAAGATAGACAAAATGTGAACAGAAACCTGTGACTAAAAACCACACTAAAATAATGTGCATATTCAAATCACAGTACTATGTTATATAGAGAGCAAATGCTTTTTGTTAAGGTTATAATCGATTATGTAATATTCAGATGATGCAACTGGGTGTGTGCACGTATGGCAGCAATCTTTGAAAGGCTGACAGCAAATCACCAGAGAAGCACTACTTCAGGTTTTATAGGTTATCATGATGTCCTTCCTAATTGTGTACTGAAGGTAAGACATCCATTCTCTTGAAGAAATTCTGCCCATGCCACTTTCAAGGACAAATTGCCCTTAGGGAGTCAGATAGCACTGTACAGCTCATTGTACAGTTCTCCATTAATTTTTACATACTTTTTAAAGAAATAAAGATTGGCAAAAACTAAAGTGGTAGATACTTCTCAGTTTCTGGCAAGTCATTGACAGCCCTTTCACATCACACAATTATAACGCTATGCTCCCACCTTAAGAGCTATGTCAATAGTGAAATATTGGTGTTCATAAATACTAAATACCCTTCCCTAAACTGCAAATTCTAAATACCCTTCCCTAAACTGCAAATTCCAGGATTCTGTCAGATGGAACCATAGCGGTTAAAGTGGAATCAATCTACAATAACTGTGTAGTGTGTAAGGGCCACCAGTGTCTGCTATTGCTTGAGATTGGAAAGGAGAAAGCAAAGAATAATGAAGATGGACTTGGATCTGATACAGCTAAGTACTTCTAATGCTTTTAAATTCACAAGCAAGGGTGCACAGTCCAGAGCACTTAACACAGATTGACATTATGTCTTATCACTGAGGAATCCTGAAATTTTCAGTATACACACATATACACACACAAATGCATGATTAACAATGCAATCCTTTATATGTCTAATCAGGCATAAGGCCATTTTCTCCCACATAAGAATCTATAGCAGGGATGGAAATCTCTATGGCCTGTGGATGCCGCTGCTCCCCAATCTTTGTAAGCTTCTTCTGCTGTAATCTCCGATAAGAGATAAGAGGGTATTTAAAAGACTTTAAAATTAAAATAACCTCCACCCCATGCATCTGAGGAAGTTGACTCAAGTCTGCAGAAGCTCATGCTACCAGCTTCTTTCTTTCAGTTAGTCTCAAAGTTGCTGCAAGATCCCTTTGCATTGCTGAACTATGGTTTGCAGGCAGGAAAATTGTTGCATGGTCCTGAGCTTTTGCTGGCAGGAATGTTGTTATATGGAACTTGAGTTGTGTTTTAGAGGACAAGAAAACTGTGGCTTTGGAGCTTACTCCTGAGTAAACATAGACAGAATTGTGCTGTGCTTTGTATGCTTGCTAAAAAAATAAGACAAATTGGTTAAGAATGACATCTGATCCTATCCACTTTGTCTTTGGCCCTACTCACTACTGCAATATGGTCCATAACTGAAATCTGGCTTCGAGGCTGACAAAGATTACCTTGTGTATGAGATTGTAACCTAAAGCAAGGATATTCTTGCTCTGTTTCAACAGCAGCTGATCCAATGTGGTCATTACTTCATCAAACCGACATATTTTTTTTCTTTTATTCTCTCAATTAATGTGAAAACCATTTTATACAAGTTTAAAATATCTTTTAACTATCTGACAAGACAAATTGGAGAATAAATATCACAGAATAAATGTTTGTTTGTGTGTACGTTACATTCTATGACAAACATAGGCTTAAACTGTGGAAAGTTTATGTTGGTAAAGGTAGAATATTTTATGCATAAGATTCAGATCTTTCTAATCTTCCAGGACCGTTGCATGTCATGCCATTAAAACGAAATAACTGACCACCTGGACATTTTACTTGAAATAGACATCTACCTCTGTAAAATAGTTGCCCAATAAGTTCCCCCACCTACTTTTCATAGGCCACAAGTTGTTATATGCAGATTATTAGCCCATGTAGCAGCTAGACTTTAGCTAATTCCCAGTCTTGATTACTAAACTGCAGCCACCAAAGTCTGGCATCTATGGAGCTGTTCTTTCACAAGGTCAACAGGTTCCATTTAAAGTTAAGCTGTCCCATTCTCCCCCCATCCCCATTATATTAAATCCCATTTGTAGTCAAACTGTATGCTAAGATTTTAGAAGCCAGTTCACATAGTTACTTCACTTCAGAGTCTGATGTTAAATTTTAATCAACATTCTTTTTAAGCTTCTTAGCCATTCATGTAACCAAACAATTTTAAGCACGTCAGCTGGCTCATGGAGACTTTTCTTGCTTCTAAGACCATAAGCATTGTAAAGCTACAGTAGATTAAAAATACTAAAATTTTCTGAGAGTCAGATTATGATGACTACTAGATTGCTGGTTGGCTCCAAAATAAATGGGTATGCCACAACACCTGACTGTCTTGATATTCTCAACAAGAGACCACTGGCAAGACACATTACAGAGGAATAGATTGTTTCCCATTGGCAAGCAGTTTTGACAAGCCTGCATTTTATCACCCATCATAGAGAAAGCAGAATTAGACTCAGAGGAAGAAGGCTTGAAAATAGGGGTTAGGTGCACCAACAATTAAGATATGTAGAGGAACCCATACTACTTGCATAAAATAGCAAACACTTGGGACCATTACTGATGAAAGTTAAGGAAGGAACTGCAAACGGAGGGCTACACCTAAATATTAAGAAAAGAAAAATAATTACCACAGATTATTTACATAAATTTAAACTGGACAATCAAGATATCAAAATATTTAAAAGTTTCACTGGATCTTGGTTACATCATTAATAAAAATGAAGACAGTAGTCAAGAATCAGAAGGCTAAGAACCAGTGCGATGTAATGGTTTGAGCATTGGACTCCAACTCAGATAAGGTTCAACTCCCTGCTCAGCCATACTCTCTGAAATAAAAGAATATGAATAACCATCAAGTTCTGGATGGCGTAGTGGTTTGGGTGTTGGACTATGGCTCTGGAGACGAGGGATCGATTCCCAGATCGGCCACGAAATCCACTGGGTGACCTTGGTCAAGTCACACACTCTCAGACTCAGAGGGAGGCAAAGGCTTTGAACAAATTTTGCCAAGAAAACCATGATAGGTTCACCATAGGGTTGTTATAAGTCAGAAATAAATTGAAGGCATACAACTAGACTTGGAAGGGCAGCTATGAAGTAACTAGGTAAATCCATTAAGTGTAAAGTTATATTTTTAAAGTCAACATCATACATGCCTTTGTATTCCCAATTTCTATGTATATTTGTGAAAGCTGGGCAGTAAATAAAGCTAACAGGAAAAGAAGCTGATTTGGCACATAGTGCTGAAGGAAAGTTCTACATATAATATGCTAAAAAAGACAAAGATGGATCCTAGAGAAATTCAGGCTTGAACTCTCCCCAGAAAACAAGATCACTAAAGTGAGGGTGTCATATTGTACGTAACATGAGACAGTGTGACTCACTGGAAATGACTGGTAAAGTGGAAGGCAGTAGGAAAAGAGGGAGACTATACTACAGGTGGACCAACTCAATCAAGGAAACCATGGTTGCCCTGAATTTTCAAGACCTGACCATTGCAATTGATGGCCAGGGCTCCTGAAGATTTCTCATTCACAAGGTTGAAGTCGAGCTGCTGATAAATAATGAAGAACGCTGAACAAATAGAATCTCTTAATTTAAATGAGAACACAAAGGCTTAAAGCTGCAATAAAAGGAGATCTTGGAACACTGACTCTTTTGGACACAACTCCCATGCTGCCCAGGGGATTCTGAGAGTTGTAGTTCAAAAGTAATATTTTCCAAAATCTGGATTGTAAAGATTTAGCTGTGTATTCATAAAGTGTCACAGTTTCACACAGATAAATGCCCGAACTGAGAAATCAAAATTTACAGCTGTGAATTGTTGTGATGGCAACAGAAAAAAAAGTCGGAGAAATGAAAAGCTGGTGATCACTGGGGTCTGGAGATTGTGATAATAGTGACATAAGTGGGAATAAAAATGCAGTCTTTTTCAAACTGGCAACTGTTAAGTGGAAGGGATAAGAATAGAGATGGAGGCAATGAAAAAATTGATTATAGCAGACCACACAGCAGCATCTTTTTTTAACCACCTGTATTTTTTTCTCATCCACTGAATCTATTCTACAGTTCTGACATCACTAATTGTAGATAGAAAATAAGAGTGGAAGTCAGTGTATTGACCACTTTCAGTATACACTTGATCTTCAAAGCTTTATAACAAAATGTCAAACAGTTTAGCAAACTCAATAGTTGTTTTCATCCTTGAATAATCCTTATCATAGATAACTGAGATATATGACAATAGCACAGTACTGTACTGTGAAAAATCAAGTTGATCCATTCGTGTTTAGTTTTTAAAAAGTTGACTGTTGAAGGGTGTTGGAGGCTACAGAGAACAAGGAGAAATATTTGAAATACACAGAAAGTTACCATAAACATGGCAATTTGCCTGAAGTTTTCAGCAACCTCTCTCATAGCGCAAGAGAGTAGAATATGGCTGATTTCAATGTAAGACAAGTGAAACCAAGGTTATGTTTCTGCAGTATGGTAAGAAGCCCAATTCATTTATTAAAATACTTCTTATCCCACCCTACAGTCAAAAAATTCAGGACAGGACATAGCCAATAAAACATCTAGAAAACAATTTAAACAGTTCACAGCAATTCAGTGTAATCAAAATAAATCCCTTAATAGACCAATTCTAAAATTTTATATAATTCTAAAATATTATATTATATAAATATTATATAAATATATAATATGAATATGTGTTACATAATTTATTATTGGTGTAGAGATTGTATAGTAACTTACTGTATATTATGCAGGCCCTCATGTACAAAGAGACCATTTCTCAGCCGAAAGTTTTAACAAGCCCCACAGGTATGGGACATGCATCAAACACTTTGCTAATGCTCCCTGTGCTGTCAATAATCTGTCAAGTCTTTCCTGTTTTTGAAAACATATAGGAATAACAAATACATGAAGATTTGCTGTGTCTTATGAGTCAGACCATTGGCCCATATAGTTTAACTTTAGCACATGTTAACACGTGCTCGATTATTCTCCTACTCCTCAGATCATAGCAAGATCTAGGAAGGATTCTGTTTAAGAACAAGTAAACATGATGTAGTGTTCTGAGTACGACTCTGGATACCACGGTTCAATTCCCTGTTTGGCCATGAAAACCCACTGGGTAACCATAGGTGACATAGCCAACAAATTCCTTCAGAAAAACACAAAAGTAATTCCTAATCCTCCTGAGCCCTTGTATATCGAGTAATCCTTACATTGAGATGGATCTGCATTCTCTCCTAAAGTATTTATTGGAGCATTCTGAAATAAAAGGGTATGAATAACCATCAAATTCTGGATGGCTTAGTGGTTTGGGTGTTGGACTGACTCTGGAGACCAGGTTTGAATCCCCACTTGGCCATAGGAGCACACTAGGTGACCTTGGGCAAGTCACATTTTCTCAACCTTAGGGGAAGGCAATGGCAAACCTCCACTGAACACATCTTTCCAAAAAAAACCCCCATGATATAGGTTTGCCTTTTTTTGTTGTTAGCTGCCCTCGATTCAGATTCATAGCGACCCTGTAGATGAGACATTTTCAAGACACCTGGTTCTCTGCTCTTTTCAGGTCCTGCAAATTCATATCTATGACACACACACCCTGCCGAATTGAGTCTATCCATCTGGCATGTGGCCTTCTTCTCCTTCCTCTCCCCTCTACCTTTCTTAACATTATTGTCTTTCCTAACAATCTGTGCCTTCTCATGATGTGGCCAAAGTATGACAGCTTCAGTTTCCCCATCTTAGCTTCTAGGGGTATTTCAGGATATAACTTCTGTACAGCTACTAGGTTGTCCAGGGTATCCTCAGCCCTCTTCTCCAGCACCACTTTAGGGTCTATATAAGTCATAGGATCATAGAGCTAGAAGAGACCTCAAGGGCCATCCAGTCCAACCCCCTGCCATGCAGGAATATACGATAAACTCTTTATACATTTGAAGGATTCTTCTCAATGAATGTTTACACAACATTGTTGTAACTCTTTAAGGTGCTCAGCTTAAATATGTTCAAGCTTTCTCTCTGTGTACTAGTTTGTTTTTTGGAGAAAAATTCATCATATGAATGTTTGCCTGTCAGCAGAAGTAGCATACAGTAGACTAGAAACAGGATTACCATCTTGGTAAGAAATGTACTAATGTTACAGTCTGCATTTTTCTCAGAAAATGACTTGTAGGCCCACAACAAGGGGGGGGGGACACAGAATGGGGCAGAGATTAGGTGGGCCCCCAAACTATAAGACTGTGTGCAATCTGAATTTAGCAGCCAAATGAAGTGTAATCTGAATTTAGGGGTTCAGCAAGGTGAGACAGGAAAACCTGCCTTGCAGCTGGGTACAAAAAAACCATCTAAGCCCAAATGCATCTGAGGAAGTAAGATTTTAGCTCATGCTGCCAACTTTCTTTCAGTGAGTCTCAAAGGTGCTGCAAGAGCTCTCTACATGCTGATCCTACAGACTAACATGGATCTTTATCTTTGAATAAGCCCACTTTGGTTATTATGAAGGATGCTTCTGTACTCCATTAACTTCTCCTACTTGGATATGTTTTATATAACTTCCTCAAGACCATGTGCTGGGGCCAGAGACACAACACACAAACTCCACCTTCCCCAGATTCCCCTCCCACTTAAACCCACAGGAAAAAGCCAAGTGTGTGTGTGTTTCTGTGTGACAACAAAAACTCTGAAGGAGCTTCCTTAAGGT